TAGCGGGCCTGTGTGGGCCTCAGCTGTTCACGGTGGTTCTGCGGCGGTTTCAGTTTCCCTGACACGAGGGCTGATGTGGGTCAGGTGTTGTGTGGGGCCTGGTGTGCAGTCGAGCCCAGCTCTGTCACCTTCGCGGGGCGGGTTTGGAGCCTGACATGGGAGTTAAGCTGTGATGGCAGGCGCACAGGGTGCTGGGGGCTCCGAGAGGCCCCGTGTCTGACTGGGGAGGGCTCAGTGGACCCCTGGTGGGATGGAGGCCGCTGGGGCAGAGGGTTGCCAGCTCTGCAAGGCCAGATGGGAGCTACGGAGGGTTGTGGAGCTGAGGAAGTGTAGGACTGGGCTAAGGAGGGGTCCGAGGAGTCCAGAAGGGAAAAGGCCAAGCAGGCTGAGGGTCTGGGGGTGCGGTGGGAAGGAGACACTCGCTGGCCTTGCTGGGGAGGGACTCCGATGTGGGCTCAGGGCATTGAAGACTGAGCACAGAAGCCAGGAGCCCTGGCTGGTGTGTGAACGGAGCAGAGCAGAGTGCATCTGCATGCTGAGGGCCCTGGGGACAGAGCTTGAGCCTTCGTAGTCTTCGGTAGGGCCAGTGCCTGAGCACATTACCTGCGGTGGAGCAGGACGGGCCCGGCCGAGTGGCCACACAGGGGGGGCCCGGGGGACTCACTGCACAGCTGCTGGGCGCCCAGGGCTCCCCAGTAGCTGGCGGCCCCTGAGGGTGCAGCCCAAAGCAGTGCCAAGGCAGGCAGTTGCCCCGTCCCGGGTCTCCTACCGAGCCACTGCCCACGTGTCCAGCACAGGGCTGGGAGCTGGGCTTGGGCACACGAGTTCCGAGCCCTGGGGACGGCCCCGCCTCATGCAGCACACAGAGCCTCAGCTGCCTGGCTGGGGGCACAATTGTCCCTTTGTGCCAGGCCGCGTGACCCACGCCCCCGTCATGCCGTGTGACACACTCGGTCACCCAGCTGGGCGTCCTGGGGGTGCCTCTGTGCCTTCATGAGCCTCAGTTTCCCCTGTGGAGGGCACCTCGAGCAAAGGGTGGGCGGCCCCGTGTCTGGCACACTCGGCTGACGCCCACCTGGGGCACAAGGACCTCTGGGAACCCAGACCCCAGTGGCCTTTTCTGCCCTTTACCCCACAGTGTGACCTCATTGGGCGCCCCATGGGCTGCCCTGCCTTGTCCTTCTGAGTGGCCACACCTGCCTCAGTGTCCCATCTCAGAAGTGGCAGTGCTGCTGGCACAGCACAAAAAGGGGATTGTTCTGGCACCAGGAAGGCCACATTCCTCCAGGCCCAGGACTGTGTGTGTCTGGCTTCCTGCTATCTGTAGATTTCTTCCGTCTGAGACCCCAGGGCTGCTCCTTGTCCCTCCTTGAGGGGAGACACCCTCAAGCCCAATTCATCCTTTAGTTCTTGGTTGATTAACAGTAATCATGTTAAGTCCAGGCACATGTGCAAAGGCCCTGGGGTAGCACTGAGCCCTGCGTGGTGCAGGAGCAGCAGGGGCGCTGTGGGCTGGAACAGAGGGAGCAAGGGGCAGGGAGGGAGGTGGGGAGATGGAGAGGCGATTAGCAGCTGGGTGCAGGGCCCTGTGGGCTGCAGAGAGGGCCTGGGCTTTGGCCCAGGGAGGTGGGGCCCGTGGTGTGCTCTGCCCTCTGGCTCCTGTGGGGAGGGCAGCCTGGGAAGTGAGGGACCATGGTGAAGGGCAGTGAACTGGTCCGGGTAGAGGTTAAACAAGGGCCTGGGTGTGGGAAGGCAGTGTGGATCCCAAGGACCTCTCCTGGTGGCCAGGGTGGGATCCCCAGGTCTCCTAGGAAGGGAGGCTCGTGCGTCCCCCCACCCCCCGCTTGGGGACCTGGGGCCTTGTGCTTGATGGGGCGGGGTGGTGCCCAGGGCCCGAGGAGGAGTCCCTGCTCTGGCCGTCCGTGCTGGCCCGGCCCAGCCCTGTCCCTGGAGACATGGAGTGGCCTGGGCCCGACCCCTCCTGCCCACAGAGCCCAGCGCCACGCAGATGGCCGGGGGTGGGGGGGAGGACTGGCCACCGCCCCCCTTCCGCTTCGGGTCTTGTTGCTCTTAAAGGGCCCAGGCGCGGGCTGAGCTCCGGTCCTCATCCTGGGCCGCCACGAGTGTGCCTCTGAGGGAGCCTCTGAGCGAGCCTCTGGGGCCTGACTGCGGGCTTGTGCAAGTCCGTGTGTGACCTGTGTGGCCTTGGCTCTGCCCTGTCCGCAGGCTCCCTGTGCGCCCCTGCATGGGGACTGTCCCCACCAGGTCTGTGCCTGGGGCCGCCCGGGCTGGGCGCGGTGACCGCACGGGTATTTTGGGAGCCACAATCACAGGCCCGCCTGTCATTACCGGGCAATGTCCTGGCCCGGCCTGGACCCGCCCGGGGCATAGCCGCCTCCTCCACAGCTGGGCCCTGCCTTTGTGGCAGGGGTGGACACGGGGGCTGGGAGGGGTGGCCTGGACCTTCTGCCCTGTAGAGGTCGGGATCTTGTGGGAGAAACAGCTACTGCTGCCACCGCCAAGTGGAGAGTGACCCTCGGGGGTCGGGACCTCAGAGAAGGATGTAGAATGAGAGGGCTGTGTGCAGGCGTGAGCTTTGGGGCGCAGAGGGAGCTCCTGAGGAGGAGGTGACGGCCAGGCCGAGAGGGACAGGATCAGAGAGGGTGAGCTCTGCCGTGGCCGGAAGCCCCGGGGCGGTTGGGATGGGCAGGGTGTGGGAGGCTCAACAGAGGCCCAGCCGGGAGCCAGGACTGCCAGCCTCAGACCTGCAGCCCAGCAGGAATCGGCTTCCCAGGGCTGGGGAGGCACAGCTCTGAGGCCCAGGTGCTCCGCCCCTCCGGGCTTTCTGAGGTCTTGGGTGTTTCTCCTGCCTTTCTCCTTTCCTTCTTTCCCCCTTCTTCCTACTGAGGACTGAACCCAGGTCCTCTGCGCTGAGCTCCATCCCCATCCTTTTTTATTTTTTTCCTCTTGACACAGGATTTTGTCAGTTTACTAAGCTGCTCAGGCTGGGCTTCAACTTGGGATCCTCCTGCCTCGGCCTCCCTCCCCTCAGGGTGCAGGGATGACGGGCGTGCGTGAGGCTCTCTTCCCTGACCTGACCCCCCCGTCCTCTCCTGACCCCTTGGTTCCCACCTAGGAATTCAGGGCCCCCAGAGCCTGTAGCCCCGCGCCCCTGTGTCCGCTCCCCTCTGGGGTCTCTCTCTCACGGACCCTGTTGTCTCTGCAGACGCTTCCCCTGCTGACGCCCAGCTCCAGGCCTCTCTGCAAGGGACGGGGGCCCCGGCCCCTCAGGGCGGAGGTTGGAGGTTACTGCCAAGCATGGCGCCCACCTGGGGCCCCGGTGTGCCGTCTGCAGTGGGCCCCGTGGGCCTCGTCCTGGTTCTGCTGGTCGGAGGCTGCGCTGCAGAAGGTAAGGGGTGGGAGCCGGGTGCAGGGGTCTGCACACTCACTTATGTGTGCGGTGAGCGTACCTTCTTCCCAATGAGGGAAACAGATTCGAAGAAAGCAGGGCCTTACTTGAGGTGACCCCTGAGTGAGCCACAGAGTTCCCCTTCCCTTGAAAAGGGCAGAAACACACAGGCAGACAAACCCCAGTGGAGCCACCGAGGCTTCTTGGGAGAGAGGGTATAGGGGCTGGGGTTTTGTGGGTATATAGGAGTTCACTGATGGCAGTGACTTTGCTGGACAAGGTGATGATGAACAAGGTTGTGTTTCTGGCTGTCGCGTGAAGAGGATGAGGATCAGTTTCTGGCCACGAAATGGTGGTGCTGAGATTTGAACATGGGCCTTCGGGTGCCTGAGCCCAGGTTCCTGACCATCATGCTGTCCCTGGGCTGTGGCCCAGCACCACTGGGCTTTGTCTCTGGCCGCTCCAGGGCCTGTCTTCTGGCCAGAGGCAGTAGTGCAATGAGTTCTTTTTTTCCTTTAACACAGACAGTATGATGACACAGGAGGACAGACTGCGGTCTGTCTGTTCCTGGGGGGCAAAGGGAATTGGGCCAGGGAGACTTGGGGGTATATTTAAAAGGGCAGGTGGAGGAATGTTAGTGAAGACTTCCCTGAGCAGAGACCAGAAGGATTGACATCTGGAGGACAGATGTCCTAGGCAGAGGTCACTGCTGTGCAAAGGCCCTGGGGCAGTGGTGCAGGAGCGGCAAGGAGCCCTGTGGCTGGAACAGAGGGAGTGAGGGTCAGAGAGGGGACGCTGGGAGGGGAGGGGTTGGGTGGGTATGTAGGGCCCTGTGGGCTGCTGGGAGGACTTGGGCTTTGGCCCAGGGAGGTGGGAGCCATGGAAGGCTGAGGGCAGAGCAGGACCTGACTCGGTGCTCATGGCGCCCTCTGGCGGCTGCTGTGGGGAGGACAGGCTGCAGGTGGGCCAAAGGGTGACACGTGACCCGGTCTTGGGTCCACCTCGGCTGTAGGCATCAGTGGTGACCTAGACTCCTACCCAAGGGTTCGCCTCCCCGGGTCCTGGGTCTCAGGACGGAGTGGGGCCTGCCCTGCAGGGCTGGGTGGGGATGGGCGGGCGGCCTGGGTGGGTCCGAGGGCCCTGCCACAGTTCTCCACAGAACCTGAAACGGAGGGCGGGGGGGGGCAGCAGAGGGCCATCTGGGCCAGCAGCTGGGGCCCTGCGCTCGCCTCTCGCTGTGGGGAGGAGAGGGGGGGGTGGGGGGCGGCGGGGGTGGCCCCGAGGCCCCTGCCACAGTCCTCCACAGAACCTGAAACGGAGGGCGGGGAGGGTCAGCAGAGGGCCATCTGGGCCAGCAGCTGGGGCCCTGCGCTCGCCTCTCGCTGTGGGGAGGAGAATGGAGGCCCAGAGCTGCTGGCCTGGCCTCCCCGAACCCCAGGGATTTTCTGGTTGTTTTTCTTGGTCCCTTTGCCCAGAGATAGAAGGACACGAGCCAAGTGTGGATTCCAAGAGTCCCTGAGAATTCCTGCCAGCTCAGGCGATCAGCGGGGCTGAGTCCCGCGTCCCCGGCGGCCAGCACTTTTGCCCGTCTTCCCAGCACCCCCGAGAGCTGTCTGCCCCACCTCTGTGACTTCTCACCCCGTCCCGGGCCGGGACACCTGTGCTGGGGTCCCGGTCTCCCCACTGCCATGTCCGACCTCGGGCAACCCGGTCACATCCCCGAGTGTGCTGTGCTTTAAGGGTCCTGTGTGGGGTTGAGCGAGGCTGTCCTGCCCATGTGCAGGGTCCGCCGGTTTGCAGGACAAAGGTCAGAGGCCCACGGTCAGTTGTACCAACAGGAGCAGTGTTTCGCCCGGGGGAGGTGAGGCCTGGCAGGCTTCTTGGACAGGGACTCGACTTGCTTCAGAGCCCAGCCTGAGTGTGAGGGGAGGTGCGTGGGGCCTTGGGGACCCAGATTTGGAGCGTGAAGCTTCCTTGAGCTGCTCTGTCCTTCTGAACAGTGGGAACGTTCCAGAATCCTCTGAGGACCCGTGTGTCCTGCCGTCACCCCAGACCTCTCTGGCCCTCCCTGCAAACCAAGGCCTAGTTCGACTCTGCGCAGACCTCAAACTTTCACTTACATAAAAAAAGAAAAACACTTCCCCCATTTTCTTGCCTTCGATCAGATCCCTTTTGTGTGTGTGTTTTTGTTTGTTTGTTTGAGATAGGGCTTCCCTGTGTAGCCCAGGCCGGCCTCAAATTTGCACTTGTCCTCCTGCCCCAGCCTCTTGAGTGTGAGATGGATTACAGGCATTTGCAACCCACACCCAGCTCGGCTCACTTTTTAAAACACTTTTATTGTATGTAACTTTGATCTTTAAATAGTTCCAAGTCTGGAAAAAAAAAAAAAAAGCCAAGGCTGGGCATGGTGGCGCCTGACATCCCAGCGCTCTGGGAGGCTGAGGCAGGCGGATCGCAAGTTCCAGCCCAACCTGAACAACTTAGAGACTTGGACCCTGTTTCGGAATAAGGAATGAGAACGCCGGGATGGAGCTCACTGCGAGGGCCCTGGCTTCCGTCTCAGGGCTGCAGCCCTCACCTCCGCAGCCCCCCCTCCCTTCTGAGTTTCCCGCGCCTGACATCCCAGCGCTCTGGGAGGCTGAGGCAGGCGGATCGCAAGTTCCAGCCCAACCTGAACAACTTAGAGACTTGGACCCTGTTTCGGAATAAGGAATGAGAACGCCGGGATGGAGCTCACTGCGAGGGCCCTGGCTTCCGTCTCAGGGCTGCAGCCCTCACCTCCGCAGCCCCCCCTCCCTTCTGAGTTTCCCTTAATCGGACCCCTGCACACTTGCGGTGTGCACTCCCCCCTGTCCTTTCCTCCCAGGCAGTAGAAAGGCTTGTTCCTCCCTGGAAATGCCCCTTGCAAGCGTCCCTCACGCTCCCATCTGTAATGTACCTGCTCCCCCGCCCCCTTCCGCTGGCCGCCCGGTTTGCTTCCGCCCGGTTTGCGTCCCGGGTGTAGCTGAAGCCCCAGGAGTGACTTCCGGTGACTCAGGTGACTGGGGAAGTAGCCAGGAGAAGGGAAACTGTGTTCCCGACTTCTCGGCCGAGACGGAGCCTTCAGGTGGCAGGCTGTAGCGCTGGCATCGCCCACTGGCAGCTCCCCTGAGGACACTTCGTACCCCAGCTCACTGTGGGGCGAGGGGTGTGGGCTCGGGAGCCGGGTGCTGTGGCGCCTGCCTGGAAACCCAGCAGTCTGGGAAGCTGAGGCAGGAGGGTCGCAGTTGGAGCCCAGCCTGGGCAACTTGGCAGCACAGTGTCTCACAATGAAAACGACCGGAGGTGCTGGCTTCGACATCCCCACCCAACCCTGTACTGCCGGGGAAGGAATGCGGTCAGCCTGGTTTGCGTGAGGTTGTGCTGGAGCTCCAGCCCTGGCTGGCCGTGTCCAGGCAAAGCAGGCACCCTGCTGGATCCCTGCCTCAGTTTCCCCCTTCAGAAAACGGGGATGCTCACTGCCCCGCCCCTCAGCGCCGGGGAGGGTAGGCTTTCCTGTCCGAATCCCCATGTCCCGCCCTCGCCTCTCCTGGGAGCTCTGGGTTCAAAGCCTGCTCTGACCCCATACCCCGTGGTCACCCTCTGCCCGGTGCCTCAGCCTGGCCCTGCCTCCCTCGTCCGTCCCAGGCACTGGACCAAGCTGATTTCCTTCCAAGTCTAGCCGGGGCCTCTCAGGGGCTGGAATTTGGGACCCCAGCGTCTGCGGGTCCCCTCCTGCCATCCCGAGGGGCCCTGGGTTTGAGCAGGCGTCTCGGTGAGGCCGTGTGTGTGACCGTGTGTGCGTCACCTTGGTAGCGGGTGGGAGCAGGAGACAGTTTTGCGGCCCCGGGGGATCCCAGCCATGAGCTGCCAGGACCCACAGGTGCCCCCTCTCTTCCTGCCGAATCCCAGAGCCCCCCAGGTTCATCAAAGAACCCAAGGACCAGATCGGTGTGTCGGGCGGTGTGGCCTCCTTCGTGTGCCAGGCCACGGGCGACCCCAGGCCCCGGGTGACTTGGAACAAGAAAGGCAAAAAAGTGAACTCCCAGCGCTTCGAGGTGAGTCCGGCCTGTCGCATCTCACACCGCCACCCGCCCTGGCTCGGCCTCGACTCTGTGCCCCCGGAGGGAGGATCACGTGTGAGCACAGGCACGACATCCGCATGCCCCGTGCTTCTTGGCACGCCTGTCCCATGGGCTTGCACACTCAACGCCTCTGCGTAACACCTTCGTCGCGCGGACCCAGGCCCGGTCCCTGCCCTGCGGCACGGGGTCAGTCACTGTCCCGTGGCTGGGACGCGGCACCGTCACCCACGCCGGGAGCCTGCAGGCGGAACGTGGCTCACGGTGGCGGGAGGGCCTGGCAGGAGAAGCTGCTCACCTCTCGGTGTCAGGGGACAGAGCAGCAGGGACCAGCACACAGCCTTGGGGCACCTTGAGTTACGACAAGCCTGGCGTACAGACAACTTGGGTTACAGCCATACTTTAGATTTTTACAACCAAAGCCTTGAGTTACTGCCTGGTACCAACCTCTGGTGCCTCCAGATGGCTTCTGACACACACTGAGCCCCTACAGGGCTCCAGAGACAACACGACGACATCCTTTCCCGTGGGGTTCACTGAGAAACCCTGGGCAGTGTCTCTCTCAGGACACTGAGACCATCTGCCTGTGTGCCTGTGAGGCTTTGAAGGCAGCTGACCAACTTGAGTTACAACCGCCCCTCGAGAATGAATTGAGTTCGTAAGTCCAGGGTCCGCTCTTCCAGGCCAGGCGCTGTGGTGCAGCCTGTCATCCCAGCACGCTGGGAGGCTGAGTCAGGAGCCTGGGCAGCTCCCTGGCTTAGAGAGACGATAGGGCTTGAGGGTGTAGCTCAGTGCAGAGGCCTTGGCTCTACTCTCCGTGCCCAAAGAAAGACTCCCCTTCAGGCTGCAGCCCATCCCCCGGCTCCCGTCCCTGCCCCCAGCGCATTAGCCCACTGTCCCCGATGTCCCCGCACCGATGTCCCCACACGGTGCCCGGCCGCCCGGGACCCAGCTCCGTTCCCTCCGTCCACACAGACCATCGAGTTTGACGAGAGCTCCGGGGCCGTGCTGAGGATCCAGCCCCTGCGGACGCCCCGGGATGAGAATGTGTACGAGTGTGTGGCCCAGAACTCAGCAGGGGAGATCACGGTCCACGCCAAGCTCACGGTCCTCCGAGGTACCCGGCTCCTCCGGGCGGAGCGGGGTGGGGCGGGGAGGTTCATGCTCTGAGCTGTGCGCACAACTGCCAGAGTCCTGCAAGGGGCCCAAGCCTTCCTGCCTTGGGTGTTTTTTTTGTTTTGGTTTGGTTTTTTTTGGTACCGGGGATCGAACTCAGGTCCTTGAGCTTGCAAGGCAGGCGGCAGAACCACTGAGCTAAATCCCCCCTGCCTTGGGTCTTTTCCAAGGATTGGATTTGCCAGCTGTAACCTCGCCAGGGCCCAGAGCCTACTGTAGAGACTCACTGAGCTTTGTGAAGCAGCTGGTGTGTGGTGGCTCACGCCTGGCACCTTTGGGAGGCTGAGGCAGGAGGATCTCAAGTTCCAGGCCAGCCTGGTCTACATAGTAAAACCCTGTATCAAAGAGCCGAAAAATAAGAGAGGTGCTGAGAGGCTAGTCCCCCTCATCTGTCATCTCAGGCAAGCTCTTCTGATCACAAGAGGCAAATCAGACTCAGACTAACGTGAAGATGGTCAGTTCATGGAGTTAAAATGCCTGTGGGGTAACCAGCTTCAGGTTCAGGTAGATCCAGGTTCACACTCTGTCCCCAGCACCCTTCCTCCTGTGTGCCCTTTGCCTTTTCTCCACGCGAGTCCTCAGGCAGCCGCTCTGTGTCTGTGGGTCTTGGGCCGTCTCCTGGCCTCTGCGCTGCTCCGTCCCCGGCCAGGTGGGGAGACGGCCAATCACCACCAGGGGTGCTCTGCGGGCCAGAGGAGCAGAGCCTGTGCTGCAACTGTTCCGGTGGCGTCCTCAGCATTCTTACTTATTTGCAATCTCGGGGTTGGAACCCAGGGACCTCTTACTGAGCTTCATCCACGACCCTTTTTGATTTTAAGACAAAGTCTCGCTGAGTTTCCCAGGCTGGGCTCAAACTGGTGACCCTCCTGCCTCAGCCTCCCAGACCCCTAGGATGGTAGATGTGCACCATTTCTCACCCTGCAGCGTGGGTGCGCGCTGGCCCCTGGCCCCTGGCCCCGCTCCCGCCTCCTTGGTCAGCCCACCGGGTCCGGGGAGTCTGGGGAGCTGCCTGGGGACCTCCCTGCCTCCCGCCATCTCATTGTGGACACCGCACACGACTCCTTCGCTGTTGTTTTAATTAAACTCGGAGGAATCAGGCACAGTGTGGTGCGCGAGGAACATTTTTGTTTAATTAGGAGCTCGGGAACGGCAGGCGGCTCCGGCCTCCCCTCCTGCAGCTGCCCACACAGCTCGCGGGAAGCCTGGGGCGGTGCTCACGCGGGCAGAGCGCGTGCATGCACACGCGTGAGTATGTTGCTTGTGAACGCGTGCCCCCCCCACGCACATGCGTGCACGTGCTGATGCCTACAGATCCCTTTTACCCCAAACCCGATCACAACCCTTCATCACTTCGATCTCAGACGACGTCACTGGCAGCCCATCAGGGGTGTTTGTGAGGTGGCCCCGCTTCCTGCCAAGAAAGGACGGCCGCAGCTGCCCCACTCCCCCGAAGGGGTCCGGGCCCTGTGTGAGGCTTCAGGGCTGCCAGCCTCGGTTTCCCCTGCAGCACCAGCCTGCCTCTGGGGCTTTGGCCTCTTGCTTCGCTTTGCCTTGTGCCTGGGGCTCAGCTCCCTCTCCCACTCCATCCCAGCCACCCCTCGGCTGCCCCCCAGTGTCTCTGCCGGCCTTGGCGAGCAGATCTGAGTCTGTGAGAATAGCACAACCGTCTCTGTCTGGAGGTGACACACTTTCTCTGTAACACACCAGAGAGTAAATACTTCCGGCCCGCGGGCCAGTCAGTGTCTGTCACAACACTTCCGCCTGAGCACGACAGGCAGGAGCCTGCGGCACGTGACAGGGAACAAGCGAGAGTGGCCGCGTGCCAATAAAACTTTATTAACAAAACAGGTCGTTCACAAAGACAGCTGAGAGCCGGAGGTGCCCCCGGGGGCATAGTCTGGGACCCTTGGTCCCACCCTCTTTCACTTTGAACTTGATTGCTCAGCCCTCTGGGTCCTGCTGAGCCACTCAGTTATCCGGGCTGATCCTTCTGCCTCAGCCTCCCCACTGGCTGACCTCACTCAGCTTGATCTCTTTTCAGAAAGACCCAGGTCCTACTTACTGTATTAGGGGTCACCCCAGTGTTCTCATCTCACCTTTGTCTCCTCATTTAAAGATCTTGTCTCCAAACGATGTTGTGGTCGTGACTGTTAAGATTCAGTGTGAATGTTCTGGTTTCTTGAGATGAAATCTCACTGTGGAGGCCAGGTTGGCCTTCAACTCGTAGAGATCCTCCTGCCTCAGCCTCCTAAGTGCTGGGATGACAGGCGTGTGCCACCACCAGGACCAGCATCCATTTATATAAGTAGATGGGGGGTGGTCAGGGCCAAGAGGACAGCAGGAACAGGTGGTCTGGGAGGACCCAGACAAGTTTGCACAGGAGGGTGGTGGGGACTGTGGGAGGGGTTGTGGCGGCTCCCCGCATAGCTCCCCCAGGCTTGTGGCCTTGCGCTTGGGCGTGTGGGGCTGGGGGGTCCTGGTTATCGTAGGTGCTGAGCAGCCTGCCTGGCTTCGCCCCTGGCTGCCTCGGTGTCCGGTTGGCCCCACGGTGATCAGGCCCCGCCCTGTGCCTCCCCCTCTCCGCTCTCAGAGGACCAGCTGCCCCCCGGCTTCCCCAACATCGACATGGGCCCCCAGCTGAAGGTGGTGGAGCGAACACGCACGGCCACCATGCTGTGTGCGGCCAGCGGCAACCCCGACCCCGAGATCACGTGGTTCAAAGACTTCCTGCCCGTGGACCCCAGTGCCAGCAACGGGCGCATCAAGCAGCTGCGATCTGGTGAGCACCGTGAGCCGGGAGCTGTGGAGGGAGGGAGGGGGACATCTGCGCAGCCCACGCCGGAGGAGTGATGGGGGCGGACAGGCAGAGGTGGTGCCCAGGTGTGGAGGGCGCGCCGTGGGGACGGGACCGTGGGCGATGCAGGCCAGGAGGGAGTTCTCGGCGACTGCTGGGTGGAGACAGAAACGACCAGGATGGGGAGCTATAGCAAGCCCCAGAGGGAGGGCGTCTCCAACGCTGAAGCTGCAGGAACACAGCACAGGCAGGGCGCACAGTCAGGTGGAGCCGCCCATGCTGCTCGTCCGACCATGGCTGGGCTGGGCGGCCTCGGGGGACACGGGAGGCCTCGGTCACAGTGGGAGAGGCTCCACGGTGGTGCCTC